GTGTTGTAATTCTGGCAGGGATCGGACCAGCAACAACGAGGAGCAGATAGCATGGACCAAGTCGGAGTTGTGTTGTTTCCTCATAAAAAACGTTTTTACTGAACTTTAGAATCCGGTGACAGTTTTGTGCTCGAGGCAGACAAATGGGACCTATACATCGGCCTTGTCAGGTAACGATGTCCACATAGAAGAGCCAGCTCTGCAGCAGATCTATAGATGACTTCTATCTTGCCCACCAAGATTGGCCCTTTATAATTACCGCACAATTTTCCAGGTACCTAGAGGGATCCTTCACCCCCACAGAGCTACGAGTGTCTATGGACACCTGACCATCACACCTATATGAGCTTAGTGAACATCTCATTTCAAAACTGTGGGCAATAATATGGAATTGCCCCATCCCCCCCATGGCCATTAATATAGAGTAGCTCCACTTTTGCGTCTATATCATCCTCCAATCTTTTTACAAGATTTTGGAGGGTGTCTGCGGGAATTTGTAAAATTTTGGAGGTCAGGTACTAATGGATTAAAAGGGTGGCTCCAACCTTGGGCTCTATGTTGGGTGCCAAAACATAAGGCCTGGTTCACAATTTCCATTCCATTTCACTCCAAAGGTGTTCAGTAGGGTTGAGGTCAGGGCTCTGTGTTCTTCCACACCAAATTGGTCAACCCATGTCTTTATGGAGCTGGTCTAAACTGTTAACCCATGTCTTTATGGAACTGGTTCACACTGGTCCACCCATGCCTTTATGGAGCGGCCGGTCCAGACTGGTCAACCCATGTGTTTATGGAGCTGGTCCAAACTGGTCAACCCATGTGTTTATGGAGCTGGTCCAAACTGGTCAACCCATGTGTTTATGGAGCTGGTCTAAACTGGTCAACCCATGTCTTTATGGAACTGGTTCACACTGGTCCACCCATGCCTTTATGGAGCCGGTCCAGACTGGTCAACCCATGTGTTTATGGAGCTGGTCCAAACTGGTCAACCCATGTGTTTATGGAGCTGGTCCAGACTGGTCAACCCATGTCTTTATGGAGCTGGTTCACACTGGCCAACCCATGTCTCTATGGAGCTTGTCCATACTGGTCAACCCATGTCATTACTAATCTGGTCCAAACTGGTCAACCCATGTCTTTATGGAACTGGTCCAAACTGGTCAACCCATATCTTTATGGAACTGGTCCAAACTGGGCAACCCATCTCTTTATGGAGTTATGGAGTTGGTCCAAACTGGTCAACCCATGTCATTATGGAACTGGTCTAACCTGGTCAACCCATGTCTTCATGGATCTGGTCCAAACTGGTCAACCTATGTGTTTATGGAGCCGGTTCAAACTGGCTAACCCATGTCCTTATGGAGCCGGTTTAAACTGGTCAACCCATGTCTTTATGGAGCTGGTCCAAACTGGTCAACCCATGTGTTTATGGAGCTGGTCTAAACTGGTCAACCCATGTCTTTATGGAACTGGTTCACACTGGTCCACCCATGCCTTTATGGAGCCGGTCCAGACTAGTCAACCCATGTGTTTATGGATCTGGTCCAAACTGGTCAACTCGTGTTTATGGAGCTGGTCCAGACTGGTCAACCCATGTCTTTATGGAGCTGGTCTAAACTGGTCAACCCATGTCTTTATGGAGCTGGTTCACACTAGCCAACCCATGTCTCTATGGAGCTTGTCCATACTGGTCAACCCATGTCATTACGAATCTGGTCCAAACTGGTCAACCCATGTCTTTATGGAACTGGTCCAAACTGGTCAACCCATATCTTTATGGAACTGGTCCAAACTGGGCAACCCATCTCTTTATGGAGTTATGGAGTTGGTCCAAACTGGTCAACCCATGTCTTTATGGAGCTGGTCTAACCTGGTCAACCCATGTCTTCATGGATCTGATCCAAACTGGTCAACCTATGTGTTTATGGAGCCGGTTCAAACTGGCTAACCCATGTCCTTATGGAGCCGGTTTAAACTGGTCAACCCATGTGTTTATGGAGCCGGTCCAAACTGGTCAACCCATGCCTTTATGGAGCTGGTTTAAACTTTTCAACCCATGTCTTTATGGAGCTGGTCCAAACTAGTCAACCCTTGTCTTAAGGGAGCTGATTCAAACTGGGCAACCCACGTCTTTATGGAGATGGTCCAGACTGGTCAACCCATGTCTTTATATAGTTGGCTTTGTACACAGGGGACAGTCATGCTGGGACAGAAAAGAATCTTTACTAAACTGTTACCACACGGTTGGAAGAGCACAATTGCCTACAATGTAAGCTCGTAAGAGTAGGGCCCTCTTACCCCCTCGTACGCTGTCTGTCTTTGTTGTACTGTGCCATGTATTGTCCCCCCCTATTGTACAGCGCTGAGCAAACCCTTTGGCGCTATATAAACTCGTAGTAATAATAATAATAATAATAATGTCTTTGTATGATGGAGTATTACCGGGACCCTTCACTGGAGACTCCTGGACAGTCATTTAGAGGAGGTTAATCCAACCATACAATGTACGTCCATGCATGGCAAAGCACATTTGCTTGACACTTGACAACACATGCGCTTTGATGTCAATGAGCCCTCATCAGAAGAATCTGTATGATTTTCATCCTATCACCTTTATCTTTGAGCATGGTCATGTGATAAAAACAAATTTGTGCATCCAACAACAGGGCACCATGAGAAGAAATAGAATGGTGGCCTTGTCGGTTCATCTGCTTTATCCTCTTGCTGGCCAGTCATGACCAGGAGCGGACTGACAACTCATGGGGCCCCGGGCAATAGGGGATCATGGGGCCCCTGTGTCCTTGCCCAAACTCAAAAAAGCCTACGAAAAAGGTACCAGGGGCATCTCATGGGGCCCCCTACGGACCCCGGGCCCTCGGGCAGTGCCCAAGTTTCCAAATGGTCAGTCCGCCCCTGGTCATGACTGTAAGTTTTTCTGTCATGAGAACTTCTTGACAGAGATCTGTGAAGTGATTCCTTCCATGGAGCCGTTACTTCATGTCAGCATCCGGAATTCTGCTTTTTGTATCATTGGCTGGATAATGGCAAACACAACAAATCCCGGATGGATGATTACAATTACCGCCATTTATATACATTTAGGCTGCAGCAGAGCGGCCAGTGCTCATGGTATAGTTGCATCCATATGACTGTAAAGTGATTATGGGACCCGTCATGTGCCCAGCGCTCCGCTCTATTAGTTTATGTCTGATTTCAGGAAGGGGAAAAGTTTTGGTTCTTGGAAATGTAACGATGTTACTCTGAAATCTCATCGGATATTCGGAGGCAGCAAAACGCAGCAAAGAGGTCTGGAGGTTCCATAACCAGATTCCCAGAGGCCTGATTTTATTTCAAGGAAAGCTGAATGTTTTCTCCTCCAGTCACTGTCAGCAACAGATGAGAGACGCAGCACTGCAAACGCCTTCCCCAAATCACTCCGTCACATTTCTATATTGTGTACTGAAAAATATCAGTGTATTATTATTATTATTCATTTATATAGCTCTGACATATACCACAGCGCTGTACAGAGAACACTGAGCCAGTCACATCAGTCTCTGTACCAGAGGAGCTTACACTCTAATGCCCCCCCCCCCCACAGTCACATCAGTCTCTGTACCAGAGGAGCTTACACTCTAATGCCCCCCCCCACAGTCACATCAGTCTCTGTACCAGAGGAGCTTACACTCTAATGTCCCCTCCCCCCACAGTCACATCAGTCTCTGTACCAGAGGAGCTTACACTCTAATGTCCCCTCCCCCCACAGTCACATCAGTCTCTGTACCAGAGGAGCTTACACTCTAATGCCCCCCCCCCACAGTCACATCAGTCACTGTACAGAGGAGCTTACACTCTAATGTCCCCTCCCCCGCAGTCACATCAGTCTCTGTACAGAGGAGCTTATACTCTAATGCCCCCCCCCACAGTCACATCAGTCACTGTACAGAGGAGCTTACACTCTAATGTCCCCTCCCCCACAGTCCCATCAGTCTCTGTACAGAGGAGCTTACACTCTAATGTCCCCTCCCCCACAGTCCCATCAGTCTCTGTACAGAGGAGCTTACACTCTAATGTCCCCTCCCCCCCACAGTCCCATCAGTCTCTGTACCAGAGGAGCTTACACTCTAATGTCCCCTCCCCCACAGTCCCATCAGTCTCTGTACTAGAGGAACTTACACTCTAATGTCCCCTCCCAACAGTCCCATCAGTCTCTGTGCCAGAGGAGCTTACACTCTAATGTCCCCTCCCCCACAATCACATCAGTCTCTGTACAGAGGAGCTTACACTTTAATGTCCCCTCCCCCACAGTCACATCAGTCTCTGTACCAGAGGAGCTTACGCTCTAATGTCCCCTCCCCCACAGTCCCATCACTCTCTGTACCAGAGGAGCTGACACTCTAATGTCCCCTCCCCCACAGTCCCATCACTCTCTGTACCAGAGGAGCTTACACTCTAATGTCCCCTCCCCCACAGTCCCATCAGTCTCTGTACAGAGGAGCTCACACTCTGATGTCGCCTCCCCCACAGTCCCCTCCCCCACTCTCTGTACCAGAGGAGCTGACACTCTAATGTCCCCTCCCCCACAGTCCCATCGGTCTGTGTACCAGAGGAGCTTACACTCTAATGTCCCCTCCCCCACAGTCCCATCAGTCTCTGTACAGAGGAGCTCACACTCTGATGTCGCCTCCCCCACAGTCCCATCGGTCTGTGTACCAGAGGAGCTTACACTCTAATGTCCCCTCCCCCACAGTCCCATCAGTCTCTGTACAGAGGAGCTTACACTCTAATGTCCCCTCAAAGGCCCCCAGCACACATTCTATGAGGATATCTTGTATACAGGACAGTGTGATGCTTTGTGGGGATTTGTTAGTTCAGTAAATAGAACTTCTGTATAATAATAACATTTTCAGCCGCTCTCATAACATTCAAAGCTGATAGGATTACCGGGAGCCGAGGACTGCGGCGGAGAGGAAAATTTGGGTCTTTTTCATAGAAAAAGAAAATCTCAGCTGCTAATCCTGTGTCCCTGTGTGAGATATTACATTATTTCTCATAAAAGCTGCTGGATTCAGATATTGTTATTGTTGCAGGAAAAATATTGGGACACCACCTGCCCCACCAGGATCTAGAAGTACACTATATTGCCAAAAGTATTGGCCCCACCCTCCAAATCATGTGATTCAGGTGTTCCAATCCCCTCCATATCATGTGATTCAGGTGTTCCAATCTCCTCCCAATCATGTGATTCAGGTGTTACAATCCCCTCCATATCATGTGATTCAGGTGTTCCAATCTCCTCCATATCATGTGATTCAGGTGTTCCAATCCCCTCCATATCATATGATTCAGGTGTTCCAATCCCCTCCATATCATGTGATTCAGGTGTTCCAATCCCCTCCATATCATGTGATTCAGGTATTCCAATCCCCTCCATATCATGTGATTCAGGTGTTCCAATCCCCTCCCAATCATGTGATTCAGGTGTTCCAATCCCCTCCATGGACACAGGTGTATACAATCAAGCCCCTAGGCATGCAGACGGCTTCTACAAACATTGGTGAAAGAATGGGTCGCTCTCAGGAGCTCAGTGACTCCAAGCGTGGTCCCGTGATAGGTGGCCACCTGGGCAATAAGTCCATCCGTGACATTTCCTGGCTACTAAATATTCCACGCTCAACTGTTAGTGGGATTATAACAAAGTGGAAGCCACTGGGAACAACAGCCACTCAGCCACCAAGTGGTAGGCCACGTCACATGACAGGGCGGGGTCAGCGCATGCTGAAGCGCACAGTGCGCAGAAGTCGCCAACTGTCTGCTGAGTCAATAGCTAAAGACCTCCAAACTTGGTGTGGCCTTCAGATGAGCCCAACAACAGTGCGTAGAGAGCTTCATGGAATGGGTTTCCATGGCCGAGCAGCTGCATCCAAGCCTTCCATCACCAAGTGCAGTGCAAAGCGTCGGATGCCGTGGTGTAAAGCACGCCGCCACTGGACTCTAGAGTGGTGGAGATGTGTTCTCTGGAGCGACCAATCACGCTTCTCTGTCTGGCAATCCAATGGATGGGTCTGGGTTTGGCGGGTGCCAGGAGAACGGTACTTGCCTGACTGCATTGTGCCAAGCGTCTTCCTACCCAATGAATCTCTGATGGTGCCTAAATTCCAGACAGGGTCCCTGGACTGAGGAACTCATCGATGGAATTGTCTCAGTTTTTGGTTTTTGTCTAATGTTACAATTTCCTGCATTAGATTCCATTCTTCTTCTTTCCTATGGAAGTGTTTCCATTCCTGAACACACCTCAACGTTTTGGACATCTTGAGGAGCATTGCACTCAGAAACGATCGGTAGGACATCACCCGCCTGTCATTGTATCAGGAACTCCGGAGTCCTATGTCAGGGGGGAGTACAGCGAGTCCTTTCTGATCTGTTGGCTGGCTGACCCTTGGTGAGTCTATCGTTGGTAGGTTGGACCTCGCTCTGACAATTTTATGGAAGATTCTTTCTTCTACCCCCTCATACCAGCTCACCTCCCACCAGTGATGTATTTAGGTTTTTTGCTACCCTAGGTAAGGCCCCCCCCGGCAGAGAGAGCCTGACACCGACCAACACCAGACCCCCTATGGGGTCCAGAGACCCCAACAACCACTAGCCAGGGTTCCCCTCATCAACATGGGGACAATGTGCTTTGCTGGGTGGTCCCCCATACCACGCCCATTTTCTGTTGCAGTCCCTCCACCAAAAATATTCGAGAAATGCCCCCTTAGCTAATACCCTTAGTTAATGTGCATGATGCCGGGACACAACACCATCAGGACGGAGGTCGGAGAGGTGGGACTGTGCCAAGAATTCCGGGACACAACACCATCAGAACGGAGGTCGGAGAGGTGGGACCGTCCCGGGAATTCCGGGACACACCACCATCAGGACAGAGTCTGGAGAGGTGGGACCGTGCCGGAATTGCGGGACACAACACCATCAGGACGGAGGCCGGAGAGGTGGGACTGTGCCGGGAATTCCGGGACACACCACCATCAGGACGGAGGCCGGAGAGGTGGGACCGTGCCAGGAATTCCGGGACACACCACCATCAGGACGGAGGCCGGAGAGGTGGGACCGTGCCGGGAATTCCGGGACACACCACCAGCAGGACGGAGGCCGGAGAGGTGGGACCGTGCTGGGAATTCCGGGACACACCCCCATCAGGACGGAGGCCGGAGAGGTGGGACTGTGTTGGGATTTCTGAGACATACCACCATCAGGACGGAGGCCGGAGAGGTGGGACCGTGCTGGGAATTCCGGGACACACCCCCATCAGGACGGAGGCCGGAGAGGTGGGACCGTGCCGGGAATTCCGGGACACACCACCATCAGGACGGAGGCCGGAGAGGTGGGACCGTGCCGGGAATTCCGGGACACACCACCAGCAGGACGGAGGCCGGAGGTGGGACCGTGCTGGGAATTCCGGGACACACCCCCATCAGGACGGAGGCCGGAGAGGTGGGACTGTGTTGGGATTTCTGAGACATACCACCATCAGGACGGAGGCCGGAGAGGTGGGACTGTGTTGGGAATTCCGGGACAAGCTATGCGATTGGTTGTGACACAATACACAGAGCAGAAGACATTTCATCCATTTAGGTTTTCATTTATAAATCATCCATCTGAGGCTCGGAAGGGAGACTCACTGTGCCTCATAGGAGTCCCCCAGGGGGCCCCCAGTTCAGACTGCCCTCCCCGGAGCCCCGTCTAGTACCTATTGGCTGTAGCTCTTCACCCTCTGGCCAGCACAGAGAATCTTCTAGAAGAGACGGAAGGTAAGGTTCCCCGCGGACGCCCCTCCATATAAATCATCGGCTTACATTACATCATACAATAAAACCGCAGGAATCCACAAATGGCGGCTCAATCAATATTGCCTCCTGATCTCCAACCAAGATTTGGCATCAGCGGGTGAATGAATCACTCCACAAGGAAAATATGAAAGTCGCTAGAGATTGGGCCGTGTCTCCAGGGGGGGGGAGGGGGGACGGGGACAAGAAATTCTGCTTCCCCCCCTGAATTGTCAGGCAGCATTCATGTTGCAGATTGCAGGACATTGAGCAGACAGGATTTGTGAGTATTGAACATTCCCCCATGATTCCCTCATCAGGGAGGGTGACAACGCGCCTGCAGAGTTCTTGCAGCTGCCCCTCCCACAGCCTCCTACTGGTGATGCTGATTCTTTCCCCTCCCTATAAGCTTTCAAAGCCCCTCCCAGTCCATTCGCTTACAGAGGAAGCAGTCCTAACGCAAGCCTGATTTTAACTTTCAGCTGATGTGTAGCAACCTAATATATAGATAGAAGACATGGAATGATAGCAGCTGACTTGAGAAATGATTTCCTGAAACATCGAGAGATTAATATATTGACTACCATAAGCGTGCGCACAGTGAAGGCAAGTCCTCGATCACCGTCTACCGGTTCATCAGGGGCAGGTGACAGGTAGAATGTGATCCTTCCTTGAAGATGCCTGGAACCTGAAAGCTGGAACCTGAAAGCTGGCACCTGGAAGCTGGCACCTGGAAGCTGGAACCTGGAAGCTGGCACCTGGAAGCTGGCACCTGGAAACTGGAAGATGGAACCAGGAACCTGGAAGCTGGAAAATGGAACCTGGAAGCTGGAAGCAGGAAAATGGCACCTGGAACCTGGAAGCTTGAAGCTGGAACCTGGAAGCTTGAAGAAGGAACCTGGAAGCTTAAGCTGGCACCTGGAAGCTGGCACCTGGAAGCTTGAAGCTGGAACCTGAAAGCTGTTGGGGGCGCTCTTATCATCATGATCACATAACCAGTAAGACCCTCAGCCACGTCACCTTCCCCATCCCACTTCCCTCTCTCCCTTTTCTTTACCCCCAATCAGCTGGAAGCCTTCCAAGTCCTCAGAAGACGCCCATCTCCATGTAAATGGCGAGAGATTAAATTACTCGGGCTATTCACAACATAGCAGTACATTGGAGTCGGCAGATTCCTAGAGTGCCATCTGCTGGCCACAAGTGGCAAATATGGAATATTTGTACACCAAATTTTCTATATACTTGACCGAAAATAAAATGAATATTTTAAAATGTTTTAGTCCTTTGAATAAAGGACATATACACAAAAAAAAAACGCAATTTGTTCCCACGAATCCTCAGATGGTTCAGGAGGACCACAGAAGTCACAGCGCCCTCAAAGCCTCTTTAAAGACAGGAAATTGTCTCGTGTGTTCAAAGATTTTTCCCTGCAGACAGATCACATAATCAATAATTACAGCTTGTCGTGAAATTTTACCGCGTTAAATTCTACGTCTTAAAAAATAAATCGCCAATAAAACTCCGCGGTGTTGGGTTATGGGCACCGGAGGACCTGCTCAGGACAGGGAAGATTGGAAATCTGATGGGGTTTTTTTCATGAGAATTTCTGTTTCTTATTATTTTTTTTAAAAATCTGCTTGTTTTCTGATTAAACTTTAGCAAAGCGATCAAACAGAAAATAACCCCCTGAAATCGGGTAGGTGGATGGAGCCTTGGAAAAATATTTATCAGCAATTGGGTCCATCCGAAATCTGGAGTCCTCTGCTGAATTTGATGGAGAGACACTGGAGACGAGACTGGCCTCTGGGAATCATTTTTAACCTTTTTATATCAACTTGTTTCAGTATTTTAGCTTTATTTTGACCCAATAAAGGGGGTGCCCAATTTTAGTCTTGCCTAGGGATGTCCACGATGTATGGGATATACTGGATGGATGGGATGTGCGGGGTGTATGGGATGTACGGGATTTACAGGATGTATGGGGATGTATGGGATGTACAGGGTGTACGGGATGTACAGGATGTTCGGGGTATACGGGATGTATGGGATGTACAGGGTGTACGGGATGTATAAGATGTTCGGGGTATACGGGATGTATGGGATGTACAGGGTGTATTGGATGTACAGGATGTTCGGGGTATACGGGATGTATGGGATGTACAGGGTGTACGGGATGTATAGGATGTTCAGGGTGTACGGGATGTACGGGATGTATAGGATGTTCAGGGTGTACGGGATGTACAGGATGTATGGGATGTACAGGATGTATGGGATGTATGGGGTATATTGGATGTATGAGATATGAGGGATGTACGGGGTGTACAGGATGTTAGGGATGTATGGGGATGTACGGGATCTATGGGATGTACTGGATGTATGGGGTGTACGGGATGTACAGGATGTATGGGGATGTACGGGATGTACGGAGATGTATGGGGTGTACAGGGTGTACAAGATGTATGGGGTGTAGGGGATGAATAGGGTCTACAGGATGTATGAAGTGTATGGGATGTATGGGGTGTACAGGATGTACAGGATGTTCGGGGTGTATGGGATGTATGGGGTATATTGGATATATGTGATATACATTATATGAGGGATGTACGGGATGTACAGGGTGTAATGGATGTACAGGAATGTATGGAGATGTACGGGATGTACTGGATGTACGGGAATGTACGGGATGTATGGGATGTACTGGAAGTACAGGATGTATGGGGATGTACAGGATGTACGGGATGTACAGGATGTACGGGATGTACGGGGTGTACGAGATGTATGGGATGTATGGGATGTACGGGATGTACAGGATGTACGGGGTGTACGGTATGTACAGGGTGTACAGGATGTACGGGATGTACAGGATGTACGGGATGTATGGGGTGTACGGGATGTATGGGGTGTACGGGATGTATGGAGTGTATGGGATGTACAGGATGTACGGGATGTGTATGGGGTGTACGGGATGTATGGGGTGTACGGGATGTACAGGATGTACGGGATGTACAGGATGTACGGATGTATGGGGTGTACGGGATGTATGGGGTGTACTGGATGTATGGAGTGTATGGGATGTATGGGGTGTACGGGATGTATGGGGTGTATAGGATGTATGAGATATACGGGGTGTACGGCCATTGAGAAATACTGTGTGAGCTGTGATTGGTCACAGCCTATCACATGGTACAAGGATTCTGTGAATGGCCCTTTACCATGTGATCTCTGTGATCATTCACAGATTTCAAAAGTAGTAAGCAATGATGAGTTGGTGGTTGAACTGGATGGATTTTTGTCTTTTTTCAGCCAGACTAACTATGTCAGGAAGTGACATCTTGTTTACTACTATTCATTACTACTGATTGGCCAAACCACTGATCACATGAATCGGGACCTCACACAGCGGTCCAGTATATCGAACTGTGATTGCGGCGTCCGCAGTCTCTGGTCATCTCCTGTACTGTGTCCGCAGTCTCTGGTCATCTCCTGTACTGTCCGCAGTCTCTGGTCATCTCCTGTACTGTCCGCAGTCTCTGGTCATCTCCTGTACTGTGTCCGCAGTCTCTGGTCATCTCCTGTACTGTGTCCGCAGTCTCTGGTCATCCCCTGTACTGTGTCCGCAGTCTCTGATCATCTCCTGTCCGCAGTCTCTGATCATCTCCTGTCCGCAGTCTCTGGTCATCTCATGTCCGCAGTCTCTGGTCATCCCCTGTACTGTGTCCGCAGTCTCTGATCATCTCCTGTCCGCAGTCTCTGGTCATCTCCTGTACTGTGTCCGCAGTCTCTGATCATCTCCTGTCTGCAGTCTCCGGTCATCTCCTGTACCGTGTCTGCAGTCTCCGGTCACCTCCTGTACTGTGTCCGCAGTCTCCGGTCATCTCCTGTACTGTGTCCGCAGTCTCTGGTCATCTCCTGTACTGTGTCCGCAGTCTCTGGTCATCTCCTGTACTATGTCCGCAGTCTCTGGTCATCTCCTGTACTATGTCCGCAGTCTCCGGTCATCTCCTGTACTGTGTCCGCAGTCTCTGGTCATCTCCTGTACTATGTCTGCAGTCTCTGGTCATCTCCTGTACTGTGTCCGCAGTCTCTGGTCATCTCCTGTACTGTGTCCGCAGTCTCTGGTCATCTCCTGTACTGTGTCCGCAGTCTCTGGTCATCTCCTGTACTATGTCCGCAGTCTCTGGTCATCTCCTGTACTGTGTCTGCAGTCTCTGGTCATCTCCTGTGCTGTGTCCGCAGTCTCTGGTCATCTCCTGTACTATGTCCGCAGTCTCTGGTCATCTCCTGTACTGTGTTTGCAGTCTCTGGTCATCTCCTGTACTATGTCTGCAGTCTCTGGTCATCTCCTGTACTATGTCTGCAGTCTCTGGTCATCTCCTGTACTGTGTCCGCAGTCTCTGGTCATCTCCTGTACTGTGTCTGCAGTCTCTGGTCATCTCCTGTACTGTGTCTGCAGTCTCTGGTCATCTCCTGTACTGTGTCCGCAGTCTCTGGTCATCTCCTGTACTGTGTCCGCAGTCTCTGGTCATCTCCTGTGCTGTGTCCGCAGTCTCTGGTCATCCCTGTACTGTGTCCGCAGTCTCTGGTCATCTCCTGTACTGTGTCCGCAGTCTCTGGTCATCTCCTGTACTATGTCCGCAGTCTCTGGTCATCTTCTGTACTGTGTCTGCAGTCTCTGGTCATCTCCTGTGCTGTGTCCGCAGTCTCTGGTCATCTCCTGTACTATGTCCGCAGTCTCTGGTCATCTCCTGTACTGTGTTTGCAGTCTCTGGTCATCTCCTGTACTGTGTCCGCAGTCTCTGGTCATCTCCTGTACTGTGTCCGCAGTCTCTGGTCATCTCCTGTACTATGTCCGCAGTCTCTGGTCATCTCCTGTACTGTGTCCGCAGTCTCTGGTCATCTCCTGTACTATGTCCGCAGTCTCTGGTCATCTCCTGTACTGTGTCTGCAGTCTCTGGTCATCTCCTGTGCTGTGTCCGCAGTCTCTGGTCATCTCCTGTACTATGTCCGCAGTCTCTGGTCATCTCCTGTACTGTGTTTGCAGTCTCTGGTCATCTCCTGTACTATGTCTGCAGTCTCTGGTCATCTCCTGTACTATGTCTGCAGTCTCTGGTCATCTCCTGTACTGTGTCCGCAGTCTCTGGTCATCTCCTGTACTGTGTCTGCAGTCTCTGGTCATCTCCTGTACTGTGTTTGCAGTCTCTGGTCATCTCCTGTACTATGTCCGCAGTCTCTGTTCATCTCCTGTACTGTGTCCGCAGTCTCTGGTCATCTCCTGTACCGTGTCCGCAGTCTCTGGTCATCTCCTGTGCTGTCCGCAGTCTCTGGTCATCCCTGTACTGTGTCCGCAGTCTCTGGTCATCCCTGTACTATGTCCGCAGTCTCTGGTCATCCCTGTACTGTCCGCAGTCTCTGGTCATCTCCTGTACTGTGTCCGCAGTCTCTGGTCATCCCTGTACTGTGTCCGCAGTCTCTGGTCATCCCTGTACTATGTCCGCAGTCTCTGGTCATCCCCTGTACTGTGTCCGCAGTCTCTGGTCATCTCCTGTACTGTGTCCGCAGTCTCTGGTCATCTCCTGTACTGTGTCTGCAGTCTATTGGTTCAGAATATTTTTTTCTTGTTTTCCTCCTGTAAAACCTAGGTGCGTCTTATGAAGCGAAAAATACGGTAAATCAGTTTTGGCGAACCCACCCGGCTACTCCCGATCCTGGAACCTCCTCAGCACATCGTTGTACAAGTCCTCACTCCTGCATGTCCGACATTTTGTCATCATTTTGTCATCATTTTGTCATTATTTTGTCATCATTTTGTTGTCATTTTGTCATCATTTTTGTCATCATTTTGTCATCATTTTGTCATTATTTTGTCATTATTTTGTCATTCTCCTTTACGTATTTATTTATTTTTTAATTCTATTTCATTCTGATGAAGAAAAGTAACGGCCTCTGCTGGTGGTGAAGGTGCAGAAAGTTTATTTAAAAAAGAGATACAAAGGAACTAACATGTGTGGGGGCAGGGGCAGACTGACAACTCCTGGGGCCCCCAGGCAATAGGGGATCATGGGGCCCCTGTGTCCTCTCCCACTCCCAAAAAAGCCTATGAAAGGTACCAGGGGCATCTCATGGGGCCCCCTACTGACCCCGGGCCCTCGGGCAGTGCCCGAGTACCCGAATGGTCAGTCCAGCCCTGGTGTGGAGATCCCCAGACACAGCAATCATCAGGGAATATCTGCTAGCCGGTTGCAAACATGTGTAACACCCTCCTAGTTAGCTAGGGGGAGCTCTAGTTCAATTCTTAGCTAGGAGGGCTGAGTAGCGGCCTGGGTGTAATATCCAGGTGGGTCAAATTTAGGTCAGGGGTTGAGAGGCTCTGCAGAACAGCTCTCTGAGACTTCCCCATGCATTAGATCTTTGGAGAAAGTTCTAGCAGCAGTGGGAGGAGGTAAGCTGTGGCTAGTCTGTACTCTTAGAGGATCCTGGCCAATCCCCAACAGGAGGCTTGGAAAGGGTCCAGGACAGCCTTTAAGAGTAGCCGAGCCTGCTTGCTCAGTAAGGGGGGGTGGGGGGAGGAGGAGAGTTTCGGGTGGAAGATGAGGAAGTGAGGCTGAAGAGCAGGAGCCTGGGAGGGGCCCAGGTGGAAGAAGGGCTCACCTCCAGGCAGGAACCTTGGAAGGAGGAAAGCTTGGGACTTCACCGGCTGCCTGAGAGGACCACCTGTGTGATAGAGAAGGAGCCACTCAACTGGAAGGCCTGGTAGCAGCCACCAACCCATCAGCAACACGGGAGAAGGACTAATTGAGTAGACCTGCACCCCCTGGGCTAGATAGGGGAGGAACTACTCTGGTGGGAAACTAGGTTAGCAACTACCTGGGACTGTTTTACTTTAACCCCTCGCCTACCAGGCACTTCTACCCCCTTCCTTACCAGGCCAATTTTCAGCTTTCAGCGCTGCCGCACTTTGATTGACAATTGCGCGGTCATGCAACATTGTACCCATATGAAATTTTGATCATTTTTTTCTCACAAATAGAGCTTTCTTTTGGTGGTATTTAATCGCCGCTGGGCGCTTTACTTTTTGCGCTATAAATTAAAAAAAGTGCAAAAAATTTGAAAAAAAAAAAAAAAGTTTATTTGTTTCTTTTATAAAATTTTTCAAACAGGTATTTTTTCTCCTTCACTGATTTGCGTTGATGAGGCGGCACTGATGGGCACTGATAGGCGGCACTGATAGGCAGCACTAAAGGGCACTGATAGGCAGTACTAATGAGGTGGCACGGATAGGCGGCACTGATAGACAGCACTAATTAGGGGTCACGGATAGGCGGCACTGATATGCAGCACTGATAGGCGGCACTGATAGGTGACACTGATGATGGGTACTGATAGACGGCACTGACTGGCATCACTTCTGGGCACTGACTGGCGGCACTGACTGGCACAACCCCTGGGCACTGACTGGTGGCACTGACTGGCAGCACTGCTGGGCTGCACTGGTGGGTGGCACTGGTGGGCAGCACTGGTGGGTGGGCACAGGTGGGTGGCACTGGGGGGCACAGGTGGGTGGCACTGGTGGGTGGGCACAGGTGGGTGGCACTGCTGGGCACATGTAGGTGGCACTTCTGGGCACATGTAGGTGGCACTTCTGGGCACAGGTAGGTGGCACTGCAGAGTGGCACAGGTGGGGGCACTGCTGGGCACAGGTGGGGGCACTGCTGGGCACAGGTGGGGGCACTGCTGGGCACAGGTGGGGGCACTGCTGGGAACGGGTGGGCGGAACTTGCGGGTGTCACTGCTGGGCACCGATCATCAGGGCACTGATCATCAGTGCCCTGATGATCGGTGCCGATCCCCGCTCTGACAACTGCCGGTTCTCGGCAGTACTTTCCTCACGATCTGACAGCGTGAGGAAAGTGCAGCCGAGAACCGGCACTTGCATTTCCCTGTGATCAGCGTGTCATTGGACACCGCTGATCACGTGGTAAAAGGCCGGTGGGATCGGCCTTTCACCACATCACGTGATCAGCTGTGTCCGTAGGACACAGCGATCACGGAGATCGCCGGGTGCGCGCCCCCTGGGGCGCGCAGGAGAGCGCGTTCTGGGAGGACGTCATATGACGTCCACTTAGAACTGGCCGGCCGCGGTGAAGCCGTCATTCGGCTATGCGCGGTCGGCAAGAAGTTAAAGTGGCAGGCACTGGATCCCCTCCTCGGGGATTCCCCCAGAACAGCTGGATTAAGAGAGTCTGGGGTCCGGGGTGGTACTACTGAAGGCTAGCTTTCCAAAAGAGACTGTTTGCTGTAAAGACTTGTATATAGTTCCAGGAAGTTGTCCTCGGTTTCACAGTTTTATTGGGCATTCCATACAACCCCTTACCCCATCCAAGGTCAAGTCCCCTAATAAAACGTCAAAAAACAAGCTCAAGGACTGGTTACTATCTCCTGGATGCAAGCCTGTGTGAAGGAATTGCGTGTTGCCTGGCTGTCCTGGACTATAGGGGGACCCAAATCTCTAGAGATTTCTAAGGGGGTGGTCCTACACATGCATATACGTTTGCTCACGGCTCATCACATAGAAGGATGGACGCACACGGCTACGCACACCCATGGCCATTATTAGTGCCAGACAGTCTAAAG